ATATATCCAAAGGATGCTCAATCATACCACAAGGACATATGCTCAACTATGTCATAGCAGCATTGTTTATCATAGCCAGAACCTGGAAACAACCTAAATGCCCCTTGACCGAAGAATGGATAAGGAAATGTGGTACTTTTATACAATGGAGTACTACACAGCAGAAAAAATAACGACATTTTGAATTTTGCAGGAAAATGGATGGAGCTAGAAAACATTATTTTGAGTGAGGTAACCCAGACACAGAAAGACAATTATCACATGTACTCACTCATAGGTGGTTTTTAAACATAGAGCAAAGAAAACCAGCCCAGAAATCACAATCCCAGAGAACTTAGACAACAATGAGGACCCTAAGAGAAACATACATAGGAAGTAGAAAGTAGAAAAAAAAAAAAACCAAGATCTCCTGAGTTCTTGGAGACTCATTGGGTCTCCAAGCATGGGAGCATGGGGACCTTGTGGGAGGATTGAAGGGGGGAGGGGAGAGGCAGGGAGGGGAGCAGAGAAAAATGTAGAGCTCAATAAATATCAATAAAAAATTGAGATTAAAAATCAATGGTTTTTCTCATATAAACTGAAACAAACTGATGTCTGGGAACTGGCCTGCTTACCTTCATCACACACCGTACGCAAAGAGAGTCTTCCTTCTCGTCGGTTAGTCACAGGGTCACAAGATGTTGAAGGAAATTTAATCATTCATTTCTGAAATGTTTCTGAATGCATGCTACATGCTGGTAGCTCTCTAGGCTCTGGGTCGGGCATGAATACCTGGCATACCTAGATTGCCTGCCCTCACAGAGCAAAGAACATCCTTGGAGCAGTTAACTACCTGAGCAAGATCCTAGCCTTCCCAGCATGGACATGGAGAAACAGGAGGGTCAGGTGTGGGATGTGGTTGGATTCGCCTTTCAGGTAGAGTGAGTGGTCAAGAAGGACTATTAGGCATTGGGGGTGGGGTGGGGAGTTCACAGGGGGAGGACAAGCACCTGCCTATGTGTGCAGGGATACCTAGAAACTAGAGTTCACGTTCATGGGAGGAATGACTGTTGGCGGTGCAGGTGGTCTGCAGGGCCCTGCAGGAACCCGAGCAGCATGGGGAACCCTGGGCTTTTGTACAGAGCACTGACATGATTGAGGATCAGCGGATGAGAACAGGCCAGCTTTCGACACGCTTAGAGGGGAGCCAGTGGGACGTCTGCCGCGGCTCATGAGGAGGCTGTTGCCACAGATGCCTCAGTTTGGTCTGAGCACAAAGGGTGCTAGTTGTTGAGACAAGGGCACAAGGAGGACAGTGAGAGGCCGGACAAGTATGCATGTCGTGTTGACCAGCAGGACCAGAAGGTGGCAGCACTGGCTCGATGTAGTATGGATCCCTGTTCTCTGGTAGCCAGAGCCTGCAGAACTTCCCTTGTGGGTTTTGTTCAGAAAAAAACAAAAAACAATGTTTCGGGGCTGGAGAAATGGCTCCGCGGTTAAGAGCACTGACTGCTCTTCCAGAGGACCCTGGTTCAATTCCCAGCACCCATATGGCAGCTAGCAACTGTCTGAAAATCCAGTTCCAGGGGACCTGACACCTTCACACCAATGCACATAAAATAAAAGATAAATAAATCATAAAATTAAAAAAAACAATGTTTCATGATTTGTGGGTTTGCTGTCATTGGTTAGTGGCTGGTTTTGGTGTGGATCTTTTCAGAGAGGTTCCTACCATGTAGGCTGGCTAGAACTTGTCTGTCTTTGCTCCCAAGTTCGGGGTTATCGGTATATTCCACCAACTCACTTCCCACCTTTCCCTCCCTCTCTCCCTTCGCCCCCTCTTACCTTTCTTCCCTCCCGCTTTCTCTCCCTTCTTCCTTCCTTCCTTTTTTGTTTGTTTCTATGCTTGGAACAGAATCCAGGGCATCACACATGACAGGCAAGCATCCTACCACTAAGCTATATCCCCATGATGCTGTAATTTATAATGATTGTAACATCGTAATTCCAGTAAGGTCACTCATGTGACCGTTCATATTTCACATTTACCTTTTAAGGGACTGAAAATGTGAAATGTGATTTCTCAGTCATGCTTTTTACAGCTTCCTAAGCAGGTACGTGAGCAGCCATAGGTGCAGAATTCATGGTTCACACATTTGTATGGGGCCTGTCTTCACGGGCTGGACGGTGTGCTCCACAGGGTAGGGCTGGGGGCAGCTCCCTCACAGCTGCGCCTGTACTCCCTCAGCCCTGCTTTCAGGGCCAGAGTCTGGTGGTGGGCAGGGCAGGGCCCAGGTCTAAAGGACTCATAAGTTCCTGAGCACTCAGCCCTCCCAGGGGCTCCTGCTCTGTGCTGAGCAAAAACGAGATGAAGGATAGCTGACATTGGGTAGTAGAGAAATTAGGCTGTTTCGGATTACTGGTAGCTGGAGGATCCATACACTCTCATCAGCCAAGGACCCCATGGCTGACCGTGGCTGACCTCACCATGTCAGAGAGATGAGAAGGAGATGTGCGTAATGTGTGTGCTACCCTGACGGCGGCGACTGTGCAGCCCGCATGCTGACCCTAGTGTGTGTGCTACCCAGACAGCAGCGACTGTGCAGCCCGCATGCTGACCCTAATGCGTGTGCTACCCTGACGACAGCGACTGTGCAACCCCATGCTGACCCTAATGCGTGTGGTACCCTGATGGCAGCGACTGTACAACCCCATGCTGACCCTAATGCGTGTGGTACCCTGACGGCAGCGACTGTGCAGCCCCATGCTGACACTATTGCGTGTGGTACCCTGACGGCAGAGACTATGTAGCCCACGTGCTGACCCTAATGCGTGTGGTACCCTGACGGCAGCAACTGTGCAGCCCACGTGCTGACCCTAATGCGTGTGGTACCCTGATGGCAGCGACTATGTAACCCACGTGCTGACCCTATTGCGTGTGGTACCCTGACGGCAGCGACTGTGCAGCCCACGTGCTGACCCTAATGCATGTGGTACCCTGACGGCAGCAACTGTGCAGCTCATGTTGACCCAACTGAGGGAGCCACACCAGCCCCTTTGAGGGCAGCATCCATGAGTCGTTCATCTCTTAGAGAGAGGCTCCTTTTTTTTTTTTTTTTTTTTTTTGGTTTTTCAAGACAGGGTTTCTTTGTCGCTTTGGAGCCTGTCCTGGAACTAGCTCTTGTAGACCAGGCTGGTCTTGAACTCACAGAGATCCACCTGTCTCTGCCTCCTGAGTACTGGGATTAAAGGTGTGTGCCACCACCTCCTGGCTGAGAGAGGCTTCTTAAAGTGATTTCGTTTATTGCCCCATTTTACCTGAGAATTTTTATTTGTTTGTTTTTTGAGACAGAGTTTCTCTGTGTAGCCCTGGCCATCCTGGAACTCACTCTGTAGACCAGGCTGGTCTCAAAATCATAGAGATCTGTCTCTTTCTGCCTCCTAAGTGCGCCACCACCGCCCTACTTGCCTGAGAAATTTTTATGTAGCTTGATATATATTGGTATATGTATATAAAATAGAAATACAAATCACACAGTTACTGGTAATAAATCATAGATAAAGTTAATTTAAAATCTTTCTTGACTGGCAAGATGATTCATTGAGTAAAAGCACTGTGCCAAGCCTGCCAACCTGATTTCTGTCCCCAGAACTCATGTGGTAGAAGCAGAGAGCCAACTCCAGCAAGTTGTCCTCTGACCTCCCCACACGTGTGCACATGTGCGGACACACACATGCAAGTGTGCACATGTGCGGACACACACACATGCAAGTGTGCACATGTGCGGACACACACATGCAAGTGGATAAATGTGAAGAAATAAAAAGTTCTTTGGGCGCCAGGCATGGAGGTGCACACCTTTAGTCCTTGCACTTGAGAGCACAGGCAGGTGGATCTCTGAATCCCAGGCCAGCCTGGTCTACACAGTGGATCTCTGAATCCCAGGCCAGCCTGGTCTACACAGCAAGTTACTGGGGCTGGAGAGATGGCTCAGCGGGGAAGAGCTCTGGCTGCTCTTCCAGAGGAGCTGGGTCCAATTCTCAGCACCCACATGGGGGCTAAAAACTGTAACTCCAGTTCCATTAGATCTGATGCAAGCAAGCCCTAGACACTCATGCAGTGTGCAGACATACACGCAGGCAAAACACTCATAAATAATAAAAAAAAAAATTTAACTACATAGTAAGTTCCAGACCAGGCAGTGCTACACAGTAAGACCCTATCAAAAACAAAGACAAACAAATAGTTTTGTTTACATTTAATGCGACCATTTATTAACAAAGAAAGCAAATTTGCCTACTAATGAATTGGATTGCTTGTTTATTTTTACAAAAATGATTAAATCTTGGCTGCCTGCTTGATACTGTAGAACATCAAGCATCTTCAAGTTTTTTCAGAGCTGGTTGATATTTTGATATCAACGATGAGAAGATTGCTTTACATAAATATAGTACAACGTGATAGAAGTTTTTTGTGGTCTGGAGAGATGTGGTGGTTTAGAGCAGAAATCCCAGCATCCATGTGGCAGCTCACAACCAACTGTAACTCCAGTTCCAGGGAATCTGATGCCATCTTCTGGCCTCCAACGGCACCAGGCACACTTGTGGTGCGCAGACATACATGCAGGCAAATGACATACATACAAGCAAAATATGTATATGTGAAACAGCTCTGACTGTCCTGGAAGTAAATCAGGCTGGCCTCAAACTCACAGAGATCCGCCTACCTCTGCCTTCCAAGTGCTGGGACTAAAGGCGTGCACCACTACTTACCTGGACAGACAAATTTTTAAAATGCAGCATTCTAACGTAATAAAAACCAAAGAGCTATAAAGATACATATTGAAGAGCAGTGGTAGGAAAGTATGAAGCCTTCTTTTCTGTAGGTAACTATCATGCTGCAGAACAGCAAACTTTGTGTGTACTATAAAGACATTGCAGTTCACGACGGACCGTGGTCCCCAGCCTGAGCAGGTGTCTGAGGTCGCTGCCCTCCTTCACTCCCGACTCCCTTGTTCCAGGAGCTGCTGCTGGGGTTTGAATCTGAAATTCAGAGACGGGAGCACGAGTTCCAGCTGAGGGCAGGTGACATGAGCAACATAGTCTTGACCCATGAGCTCAAGGTAACTGTCCCTGCCGGGGCTCCCGCAGGCTCTCCAGCTCTCCAGTTCACTGTCGCCAGCTTTGATCTGAGCTGCAGAGCACCTCGGCATCCTCCCACAGCTGCTCTCGGACCTCCCATCTCGTAGGTGAAGCTACTAAACAAAGAACTGCAGGCTCTGAGAGAAGCTGGGGCACAGGCAACAGAGAGTCTGCAGAAGGCAGAGGCAGAGCACATCGAGTTGGAGAGGAGGCTACAGGGCCATGCCCTGGAGCTCCAGAATCTGGAGGCCGTGAAGGATGCTCGGTGCGTGGGTTCTCCTCCTAAGGCACTGTGGCCATCAGGGCTAGATCCTGGTGGCCCTGCCTTCCTAGCTTATGCCAGCTCTTCTCTTCGGCCTCTTCTGTAACTGCTCTTTACTGATACAATTTTTGTTTAGGATAAAGGACTTGGAGAAGGAGCTTCACTCTGTACAGCTGGCCAGTAAGAGAGCCGAGGACACCTTCAGGAGGAAGTGAGTATTTGTGTCTGGGTGGGGGCCTCTGGAAAAGAGTCTGGATTGTAGTCACTGGCGACAAGGGCCCTGTGACAGGTAACCTGTGCTCACGTGATTCTCTGGCTCCATGCTCTGCTTCCTCAGAGGGTTAGGCTTTCAACATCTCAAAACTGAAAATGTTTTAAGGGCCAGGACTCCAGGTCATTGGTAAAACACAAGCTTAGCATGCCTGAAATTCTGGATCTAATCTTCAATGCCAAAACAGCCTTTTAAAAAGTATTGCCTTAGTTAAAAGTTAACTTTTATAGGTGAGTGAGCTTGCTCTGTACATAAAATCTTTGCCACCATAGCAGGTGGCCAGAGTTCCTTCTCTGGAACCCATGCAGTTAAAGAAGAGAACTGACTTCATACACGTGACTTCATACACGTGACTTCATACATGTGACTTCATACATGTGACTTCACACACGTGACTTCACACACATGCCCACCACTAAATATTTTAAAAATTGAAAGTTAACATTTAAAAGTTGAATGTCTTATTACCTTTAAATTTTAGACTGTAGCCCCAAACTTTACTATCTTGATGCAATTTTCTTTTATTCTCATGGATGTAGATTCTCTGAGCTCTCTTTTTCCTGCTGACATACCCTGTGACCAGAGTAGGTTGGGACCCAGCCAACCGCAGCAGGTGCTTCATGTTGCCAAGGTGTCTGAGACACCCAGGAAGTAGGTGGTGTGTTGGCTCAAGGTGGGGACTTCAGCAGGGCCATTGAAGCATTGCCCTTCCCCCAGGCTATCGTGGGGTTCAGGAGGTGCTGGAACAGCACTGTCAACAAGGTAGCTCCATGGAGTGGTTTGGGGATGAGGTGAGAGGCCCCATGAGTGAGCTCAGCTAGAAGCCAGGCTCTAGGATTTTAGCCACAGGGCAAGAATCATTCACTTTCTCTTCCAAAGGAAACACAGTAACTGTAGCTATATCACAGCATTGTAGTGGTGAGCTAAGCGTGCTCCTGTGCCCTCCGTGGGCCGGTCACGGTGTCAGTGGTGAGCTAAGCGTGCTCCTGTGCCCTCCGTGGGCCGGTCACGGTGTCAGTGGTGAGCTAAGCGTGCTCCTGTGCTCTCCGTGGGCCGGTCACGGTGTCAGTGGTGAGCTAAGCGTGCTCCTGTGCCCTCCGTGGGCCGGTCACGGTCTCACTGGTGAGCTAAGAGTGCTTTGTGAACTGTTTTGGTGTCTGTCTTGTGAGTTTTGTGGGGCATCCAGGAGCCTGGCATCTAAGAATAGCTGCTTACATAGGAAGAGCAAGCTCACCCACAGCTTTTACACTCCGGTAAAGCTAGGGGTGGGCAGCTGCTGCCTGCAGTGGGCATCAGGAACTCCTGTAGTGTGAGAACGGATGGCAGACACTTTGGAGACTCCAGAGCACTGAGTGAACCCCAGTCGGGCCCTTCCCTGTGTTCCAGACATGAAGAACTTGACCGTGAAGCCAGGGAGAAAGATACAGTGCTGGCAGCAGTGAAGGGCGCCCATGCAGAGCAGCTGCGAGCGCTGGAGGCTAGGGTGCTGCAGCTGCAAACCCACTGCGAAACCCTGGAGGGACAAGCGCGCAGGGCCGAGTGCACACGAGCTGGTGACGCCAAGGAAAAGAACGCCCTTATTGACAAGTGAGCCACTCCCAGCAGCCCTGTGTGCCCGAGCCCTGGCCAGGCATGGCCATTTCAGACCAAGGGAATTGCATGCAGTAAGTGGGAGGGACTTTAGGGACTTTCTGGTCATTTTTTTCTAACCATTTCTCTTAATGTTTTCTTTTTAATTGTGTAGTTTTTATATTTATGATTATTTGTGGTAAAGTATACATAACAAAGTTTTTCTTTAGTTTTTGCTTTTTCTAAGACAAGGTCTCATATGACTAAAGTTGGTCCAGAACTTGCCCTATAACCTTAGTTGGCCTTGAATTTATAATCCTTGTGCATCCACCTCCCAAGTGCCGAGATGCAAGCGTGTGCCACCATGTCGGATGCTAGCCATTGACGGGACTGTTCCCATTCACGCTGGCTTCCCTCCTTCCCTAGTCTCCCAGCGACCTCCAGTCTGCTTTCTCTGTGACGTTGTAAGCGTATGGCACTGGCCTTCCTGACTGGGCTGTCGCAGAGACTCGAGTCCCCAAGGTTGGTTCACTCACGTTTGCAGATTGCCACTCTCTTTTAAATCATCGTAATTGTGTCAAACTGTACGTCTCCAAAGCCATGGGGACTCGATGGCCAAATAGCCTAGCATAATCATTGAGCCACAGGTCCCACTGAGAGACCTCATCCCCAAAACCAAGGCAGATGCTCCTGGCCTGTTGAGCGTGGACAACGCTGCTGTTGGCACGGGCGAGCCGACCTCCCTTATAGACTTTGCTTTCTTCTCCTGTGGATATGAACAGAATTGGAATTTCAGGACCACATAGCTCTGGGTTTTACATTTTGTTTTGCCTGTGTTTAAGATGAGGTCTCCCTGTCCTGGAAGCCTCTGTTCTCCTCCCTCAGTCTTCCCAGGGCTTCAGTACACCAATATCCAATCCAGGCCAGAGTGTTTGGGCAACCTGCTCCACCTGTGCCTCGTGTCAGCCAACTGTTGTAATAGCGCTGGGCGGCAGCCCTGCGCCCTCATCCTGGGTGGTGAGGAAATGGCATGGGACACTGTGTTCAGTAGAAACACTGACGTAATGCCCTTTGCTCATGCTCCCAGACTTAGCAGCCGGGTGTTTCTTTGGGATGGGGGTATTTCTATTTTTTTTTTTAACAGAAAATCATTGCCAAATTACATTTCTGTCAGGGGAAGAAGTAGATCTTAGAACTATGACGTTTCAGGAAATTAAAGTTTATTCCGCATGGGCTAGCGAGATGGCTCAGTGGTTAAGAGCGCTAACCACTCCTCCAGAGGATCTGAGTTCAATCCTCAGCACTCACATGTAGACAAAATACCTGCACACATAACGGAAAAATAAGAAATTATAAATTGTCCAGGTGATAGTGGCGCACACCTTTAATCCTAGCACACAGGAAGCAGAGGCAGGTGGATCTCTATGAGTTCAAGGTCAGCCTAGTCTACTAGTGAGCTCCTGGATGCCCAGGGCTACGTAGAGAAACCCTATCTCAAAAAACAAAAATAAAAAACAAAAAACCAAATTTAAGTTGAATTTTAAAACGCTTGTTCCATGTTACTTGGTTAAGTCGTGCTCTTGATCGATCGGTGAGGTAAGACGCTAAGGCAGCTCACCTCGATGAGCCAGCGATGCCTCGGCGTGCTGCGGGAGTGGGGTGCTGCTTCATTACTGTTGCAGTTCCCTATGAGTATAGCTGCAATGGTGGGACCTCCTAGAACCTGGCTGCTTCCTGCCTGCTCTTGAAGCCTTAAACTACATGTGTTTGCTTTTGTTTTGAGAGAGGGTCACACACACTATATATAGTACTGGCTAGCCTAGAACTCATAATCCTCCTGCCTTAGCCTCCCAAGTGCTGGAATTATATGCCACACCCAGTTTTAACCATCTTTTAGTTTCTATCTCTAAGTATTTTTTGCTTATTAAGGGTTATTACTACACAGGCAGGGCACTGTTCTCACTTCTGGGAGTTGAGATAGCATTCTCGTCTCTGTCCAGAGCACACACTGGCATTCAGTGACAACTTCAGTGCTCAGCAGCTTTCCCACTCAGTGGGTTTGCTGAGGCCCCCTGGGTAAACATGTAGGAGTAGGATAAAAACGGGTTTCGTGGTGACCTGCCTGCTTCACTTGGAATGGTCAGTGTCCACTGGTCTCCACAGTGAGGCTGCGGCAGTCCTGCCCTAGCTCCTAGGCTGGGCCGAGTGCTTGGGAAGTGAGGTAGAATGTGAAGGACAAGGCCAACTGCCCAGGGTGGCTGGAGACCGACGCCTTCCGTGTGCCTGTTTTTAGCACTCCCAAAACGTGTAGAGATGTTGGCACAGACCAGGTCTGCAGCACCGATGCTGGGTTCCTGATCGAGGGCGGCCTCACTCTGGAGTAGCTGCAGCTACTCAGTCTGCTTGATACACCACACTTGACAGACAGCTCATGGCTCAAGAGGTCTGTGCTCAGGGATGTGATCACTGGTGAATCCTGTTAAGGAACAGAGTTGTCCCTCTGAGGAGGGATGGTCTTGCTTAGATCAGCACAATGCCTTCCCTAAAGAGGGCCGCTTGATGCTCTGTTCCTGGGGAAAATGTCCGGTTTGGGTGGCTGTCCCAGCAGCACTTTACTGCCAAGCTAATGAGTGGACTCTGGAACCTTCTTGTGCTTGTCACTGAAATATGTTAGGGGCTGTGTTAGGCAATGATCAGTCCCCAACAGCACTTCCTCAGTCCTCAGTCCCATAGGCTGTGGGTGCCGATCGCCTTCCCACTCTGCATAATTTAGCCCTTTATAGTCAATTAGCTAACATTTGCATGGCTGACAGCCAGATGTGTCTCACTGAGGAGAACCATGGTCTTAATGTAGGCAATAGTGTGACTTCTACTGTGGCTTTCCTCTAAGGACTGGGCAACTGTGTGTGCATTCCTCCGAGTCTATATAGAAACTATGTGTGCATTTCTCCGAGTCTATATAGAAACTGTGTGTGCATTCCTCCGAATCTATATAGAAACTGTGTGTGCATTCCTCCGAGTCTATATAGAAACT